ATCTGAAATCTGGAGTACTGTGTTCAATTTGCAGGCCCCAGTAGCTAGATCATCTTCTAACAAAACAGATATCTTAGGGTTTGAAAAGAAGAGGGTACAACTCCCTGACAAAAAGATCCCACTAATCTTATGGATGAAACATCAATCTACAACGACTTTGTAGGATTTACATCAAAAGGACTATCCTCAATCTATCTACCAATATTCTCCCGTGAATAGAGTACCAGTACTACTGCTATATTTAGTAGTAAGTACCAGGACTACTAATTGCTTCTTCGTTAAAAGATGGAAAAGCTTTCTTTATAAACAAGAAGGAAAATTTGAAGTGGGTCCTAGCTCACTCAACCATCATCTGTACACGTGTCCATTTCTGTAGCGTTCGATTATAGATTATCCACGCTGTAATTTGGGGTAGTGACACTTAATCCCTTGGCTAGCTTAAAAAAACGGTTCTCATATGACTGTTATCATATTAATATTTCTAAATCTCCAATCTACCCTTTCTTCAATTTATGGGACCATTTTCTTAGGTATTTGTATAAATCCTTCTTTTTTCTTCTTTCTCATCCAAAGTGAGTGAAAAAGATATATATAATGTGCTTTGTCCTACCCATTTTTGTTATTTTGAAATGTCATTCTTTTACGTATGCAAATTTTTAAAAGGGTGTTTTAGTAAATTAACATTTTCTGTTAATTAATCTAATTGGAAAATAGGGGGCAAAGTGTATTACTGAAAATACAAAAAATAAATAAATTTATATTTATTGAAATTAATAAATTACTGAAAATTTTTAATTATTGTTCGATAATATCATTAAATATTAATAAATTGACCAAAATTACTGAAAAATATCAATAACTACTTATTGCTTAAAATTACTGATAATTTTTTATTATTAATATTTTAATTATTTTTTTAGTAATTATTTATTTCAATAATTAATTTTCAAAAAAATTCTGAAATTAAATTACCAAAATCAGTAATTTTCAGCAAGAATTTCTTAGTAATTAAAATTTTCAATTTACCAAAATTACGAAAAATTATAGTCTAGGTGTTGATATTTACTAAATAATATTCAATAACATCAGTAATTATAGAAAATATAAAAAATATTTCATAAATTAATTTAACTACCCAAATTAATTTAATTAATTAGTTTACCCACATTTTTGGTTTTTAGATGGTTTATAATATAGATTAAGATGTGTTTTAGGAGGAATTTTAGATGTGAGAGATTGTTTAGGAGGCAAATTTGCACTTTGATTCAGTTTTGTAGGTGTTTGACAAGAATTTATTTTCTATTAAAAATAAAAGTAATTCAATCATTTTTGCATTCAATACCGGAGCAAAGTTGCATTCAGATCTTCTACTCATGACAATTCTCACTAGACACTACAATCATACATCTTGAACATCTCATTTGTCATTCATGGGGAGATGTTCTTGATGGATGGCTATAATGCCTTGTGGATATGTGTAGGTAGTGTCTTTGTGGTAGTAGATCTAAGCTGAGCATAGTTTTCTTTCATTTTGAAGCAAACTTTACACTTCAAGTTGTTAGTCAATGTAAAATTGATTGGTTCTGGTTTGAGATTTGTGTTTGCACCCATCACAACCACACATGACACTATAATGTTGTGTTTGGTAATTGGTATTATTATCATTTCAAGCTTAAATCATTTGCAGAAGTAATGGAATTTCATGTTAAAATGCCAACTTTTTTGATTGGTACTTATGATGATTGGGCATTGAATAAGTGTTTTGAGCAGTATTGCCTTGAACATTATTGTGTGTTTGGTATTGACACTATTGCCAAAGACATTTTAAATGGAATGTTTATGTTCAATGTGACACCACCCCCAATATATTAACTCTCATCTAACAACCAAAATTAAAATAAATATTTTCTGATGATTGCTCGTCCTTAAACATAGATTAACATCTAGATGCAGATCTAATGGTTATAGAAGCATAGAACCAAAAAAAAAAGATTTTTCATTTCGGAGGTAGGGTTTATGGGTATTCATGGTGTATATCTATCTTTGCTAACATGTCACCAAAATATACCTCTACACTACCATGTAGGACACCAACTAAGAGAAAGTCATTGGATTGTTTCTTCAAATGGGCAGCTGATGGAAGAAACATCAAGGTTTCCCCCAAAACACCCTAGATTACATTCCTTGTAGAAATATTTTATAACCATTTTAACTCAAAACAACCTCAAAAAACAATAAATTGACATTTTAAGCTCAAAACACCTTGGCTTTGAAGTGCTAATGTTTCAAGTGAAAACAGCCATTGTAGCAAACATAACCTAAATTTACTAGCGGAAAATCAAGCCAAGTTTACATCCTTCTATTTGAACGAATTTTTGTATTCCTATTAGTGCAAAAATAAAATGATTTTGCTCAAATATAGTATATATTTATCTATTATATAAATAACTTTTTATTAATATTTTTCAATGAAAAGTTTTTTTGTCATTAAATAAAGGTGGAAATGAAAAATTAAAAATATTTAAAAATAAAATATAAATTGAAGTTCATTGGTTACTTGTAAAATTATGTGGATTAAAGGGCCCATCCATTTTTTTTTTTGGATTTTGAGGGGTGGGGAAGTTGGTCAATGGGATTTTGGTTCCCATTGACCAAGATACCCATGTTCTTTTTTAGATTTATGTGGGGTCAATAAAGTGATACCAATCTCCTAAGTGGGTAAATAACTTTCGATGTAGAGGGAATGGGGGGAGGGGAAGTTGTCGAATGTCAACCACTTGATTGCACTCTCTCACCACTGTTTCTCTTGGTATGCCGCACATAATGAAGAAGATGATAGGGCTCTCTAAAGAGAGGGGCATTTGATGAAAATTTCAAAAAAAGTTTGGAGACAATCTTGTTCCATGAACAAAAAAAACAAGCGCTTATTCAATATGTTCTTAAAATAAGTTGGTCCAGGGTTGTTTATTTTTGTAAGCACTTATTTTCAAAATAAGTACTTATTCTGACCATTTCTTTGTCAAACATAAATAAGTATTTATTTTCCATTAATTGTGTGGTACCACCACTTATTTGAATAAGTGCTTAAAATAAGTGATACCAAAAAGGTGCAAAAAGGGCTATGGTTGAAGGGTATTTTCACCCACAAGAAGGTAAAAATGGGTTTTAAAAAAATTCACAATAAGTCATGTGGTATCACATGTGAATGGATGCAATAATGCAATAATGTGGGGTAGATTTGTTCAATTGTCAAAACACTTAGAGATACTTCTTAGGCTATGTTTGGTTTGAAGGAAAAATGTAGGGAAATTCATACAAGGTTTGTAAAGGTTTCCTTACCTTTCCTTTCCTTTACCTACTTTTTCCTTCAAACCAAATAGTCGTTTGATTGCCATGCAATTTTATATACATTAGTACAAATGTATGGAAATGAAAATGAAAAGAATGTAAATTCTTCTGCTGTGCTCGGTCGGTGATGATGCGCAATCTGAAAGCTTCTAGCTGGAAGGTTGCCTAGACGTTGTTCGCATGGCAAACTGGATCAAACTACAAAACAGAGATCAGAGAGACCGGGGTGGATGACCCAGTGAGGTCGCTCTGATGCTTAAGTTAGTATTCTTGCTATGGTTGCGAGCTAAAAGCTTGAATGCTAGATAGCTTGGGTGTAAATAATCGCACGTACTTGGGCCCTAGAGGGGTTGATGCCCTTATATAGTTGAGTTGCCGTGGGTCTCACGAAACGGTTCCGGGATCTTTGGCCTGAGTAGATGAGATACGTTTCCACTTTAGACAGGGAGTAACGTATCAGTCAATGAAGTCTATCATTACTGCCCGATCCAGGTGGGGAGAGGACAAGGCCTGCCGTTACGCGGCGTGATCCCGAGAGGTTCGAAGTCCGCTGAGAAGCTTATGGAGTCAATTACGTGTCACTTTGGTTCTTGGGCTCCGAACTGGCTTAGGTGCCGAGGTGCCTCTATACCGAGGTGGCTCAATGCTGATGTGGCTTTGTATCGATGTGACCGAACACCTGAGCTCTGAAAACTGTTGACTAGGCTCCTCTTGCTGAGTTGTCATCCTACTGGCAGATCAAATCCACGTGACCTTTACTTATTAGGTTGTGCCAAATTATCCCTCATCAATTGGTTTTCTTTTCCTCTCCGAGCCCTCAAGAGCCACTAGAGGCTTTAATTATAAAGACATACAAAGTAATATAAATGACAAGATTTTGTAGCACTCTACATCTTTGTATTTGCACTCCCTCTACACTAAGCCTTTAGGCTCCGTTTGGTTTGTGGGAAGATTTGGGTGGGATGGGATAGGAAAGTGTAAAAAATTACATTTCCATTGTTTGGTTTTATATATGGGAAAATAATAGGAAAACACTGTTACGAGGGAGAAGAGAGAAGAAGGTGAGGGAGAAGAGAGAAGAGGAAGATGGAGGGAGAGACAGAGAACTCCATGACTAAGCTCCGATCTATGTTTACGAACCCAAATCCAAGTTGTACCATGGAAAAAAACCTTCGATTTGTGTTTGCGTCGATCTGGGTTCTACCAATGGCAGAAACATCTTCAACGAGTGACAGTGGCTACCAGCAGCGTTAGTGGTGCAGCAACGGCGGGGTAGAGGATGAAGATGAAAAAACTCGAGTTTTTCCACCGGGGTCGCATGGTTTTGGTGCGACCTCGATTCCACAATTTTAGGATCTCACATCCCACTTTTTTCTCATCCCATCCCCCTATCTCCCTTTAAAACAAATGAAAAAAAAAAGAATATTTCCTTTTTTTTCATCCCCATCCCACAAACCAAACGGAGCCTTAACATCTCATGTAATTTCACCTTAAGTAAACATTCAGACAAAAATGAATCAAACTTTGCACCCAAATCATTTTATACATCGTAATTTTGCACCGGTGCAATCTGCAATTTGCAAACTGTAGTGGTAGGGCTAATCAATTTCCTTTAAGTAGTAAAGAGAATACCCAAAATAGCCCTCAGCTCAGGGGTCAGTAGTCAGTAGAGGAGCAAGGAATAAAATTTCCTCCTCACCCTCTCTCTCTCTCTCAACCTCGAGTCCTCGACTCACACGCAAATCTGAAATCTCTCGGTCTCTCCTCTCTATTTGGATCCAAACCAGCAGCAAAAGCAGCAAGGAATAAAAATCAATTAAAACCAGAAACATATAAAAATCAAATCTTTCCTTTATCTCTCGCCGAAATCAAATCAAAGTGAAATGGTAGAAGTTTTGATTTTTTAAAAGATGAAGAAACCCCAAAAGAATTCCCGTAACCTCAGAGTCAGACACAATAAAAACAACGGATTTTGATTCTGTTTTAGCTCCGCATTCCTACGGTTTCAATCCCCGGATTTCTCGATCTTTTCTTTTAGACTGATTCGATCAATCCATGAAGCTTATCCCCTGCAGAACTAGGGTTTCTTCTTCTTATACTCTTCTGCAGAACATCGTCAGCATCCAGGGCTCTTTCGATGTCATCACTCAGCAATCACCATCGAAATGGTCAGATTCCCCTGCCGTGTCCTCACCTCTCCGATTTCAAATCCAGACATGGCCACAAGCCCTTCCGAGCCCTACAGGAATGCCTACGAGTCAAGCCACTCGGCCGTGCCGCGATCCGCCGCGACCCGGACGAGGTCCCTCGCTGCGGCTCCTGCGGGGAATCGTCTCGCCCCCGCCTCTATGCATGCGTCGCTTGCGCCGCCGTTTTCTGCCACTCGCCGCCCGAGTCGTCCCATGCGGCCGCTCATGCCGAGTCGATGATACCGGGTCACGAGATTGCTGTCGACGTCGACCGCGCCGAGCTCTTCTGCTGTGCATGTCGCGACCAGGTCTACGATCGAGACTTCGATGCGGCGGTTGTTCTTGCGCAGACGGAGGCTTCAACGCTTGGCGGATCAACGATGCCCGCTGCTCCGCCGGAGAATCTGAGGAAACGGAGGAGGGTGGATTACCGGCCCTGGGCGCCTGATCCGAGAGAGCGCGTTTTGATGGGAAGGTGTTCGAGTCCGTTGCAGAGGGGAGACGGCGATCCTTCGGTGGGTTTGCCTTGGGGATTGCGGGGGCTCAACAATCTTGGCAACACTTGTTTCATGAATTCGGTCTTGCAAGCACTGCTTCATACGCCACCACTGAGGAACTATTTCTTAAGTGATCGCCATAATCGTTACGTTTGTCAGCAGAAGAACAATGTCAGTAATGTTCCTAGGAAGAATGCCATCGGACACGATAACAGTAGGAATTTGCGGTTGTGTCTGGCTTGCGACATGGATGCGATGTTCTCTGCTGTTTTTTCCGGTGATCGGGCGCCGTATAGCCCTGCGAAATTCCTATACAGGTTTGATTTGATGTCAAAGTTTTGTTCTTTAATCTCACCATCTTACCTACGCTTATTGGATTTTATATTGTTTCAGCTAGGACCTATGCATACGCCTGAATTTCATATCTTTCAGCCTTTCAGCATGACTTCTCTATCTTTCGTGTTCTCTGTTAATGTTATTGTTTTCTGATGGTGATAATGTTACTGTTAGACTAATTCTTCAATGTTGGTGGTGGCAATGCTCATATAAAATATAATTGTGTATTTTTCTTTTTTATTTCTATCCGAAGTAAATTGAGCATCAGAAGATAAGTTTGCAGTACACGTTATCTCCTACCAAACTGAAATATTGCAATTTGGTGTGCTTTTCGTTCATCCCGTCATGGTTTTGTCTCGTCATCAGTTTTCTTGATGGAAGCTTCTTTCTAAGTTGTATAATTGATTTCTTTTTGCTGCACCAGTAGATTTTCTTGAGTACCAAATCAAGTGGGTTCTACTTCTACGGATGGAATTTTGAAAGTATTGTGATAATGAAGCAGCAGTTTTTTGATTGTTGAAAACTGTGACTTTGTTGCAGTTGGTGGCAACACGCAGCAAACCTAGCAAGTTATGAACAGCAGGATGCCCATGAATTTTTCATTTCCATGCTTGATGGTATCCATGAAAATGTGGAGAAAGGCCAATGTAGGCCCCAGAGACAAGGTAAATTCCTTTGCATATTGAAGATTTATTTACATTTCCTTCCCTTTCCTTTACTTGTTTCTGTCTTTTGAGTTTTTGTCAACTATTTCTGCCTTCCTGGATGTTTAACATGCGGCATATTGGAATTTTATTAGACAGGTTCCAGCATGGACACTATCCATATGATGATATCACCAAAATAGAAAGTTATATGAAATGGGTGTTTTATGCCTTGTAGTTTATATATCCAATCAATCTTATGGTGTGGGACTCCCCACATGTACACCATATATGGGGTGCTTTTACTGTCCTACTACTTGATTGATACAATTTATTTTTCTCAAAGCTATTTGTTTATTCAGCTCTTGATGTTGTATGCTGCACTTCTTCTGTAAAAGGCATGTTATATACAATGTACATAGTGATGCTTTTTAGGTACAGTAGAGGGTCATGTAGATTTGTTTTTCTTAGATATTCTCTGACCCTTTTGAATTTAGTAGCATTTTATCATTTTAAATTTGATTTATGAAGTTTACTGTGTAACATGGGGCTCATACTATCAGGGGATCACACTTTTTGATTGGGGAAAGGTATCGGAGGTTGTGAAATTTAGTAAGGATATTGTTTTTAAATACATTTTTTTATTGAGTATGACCTAATGGAGCAAATTCATTAGGGTAAATTACATGGAACCCCCCTGTACTATGGGGTCAGTGACAAAGACCCCCCCTGCACTTTTTTTGCGACAAAGGCCCCCCTGAACTTTTACATGTGACAGATGCCCCCTCGGCTGTTAAATCAGGTAACGTAAGGTGTTAAATTACCAAAATACCCTTTAAACTTTTTAAATTTTCTTTTGTTGCCATTCTCTCTTAAAATCTAACTGGCCCAAAAGTAACTTTAATCGTAACGATCCGTTCACCACAGCCACAAGTTCTTGTGATATTTAGGGGATGAAGGTTTTTGTGGGTGTGGTCGTATTGCCCAGATCTGCAAGTTCATAGGTAACGTCAGTATTATGCAAGGCACCATCACTGTCTTCTAGCTAGGAAGCCTGTTTATGTGAACACAAAGCAGTATCATGGAATTCTGAGATGAAGACAATCACGTGCTAAGATTGAGCTGGAAAAGAAACCAATAAAAGTTAGGAGGCCTTGTCTTCATGAATCTCAGCACCAACATGCAACCAGAATTAGGGTTGTTATTTAAACATAAGGTCTCGTGTCCGATCTCTTTGCTGAAGGCAAGACAGCCTATGCTACCATGGTCTGATCTCTTTGTCATTGGTTTCATCTTTGCTCAAGGCCAGAATAGTTTGATTTAGTTTGTTCTCACTTCCTTAATCAACTGATACTACTCAAAACTTTCTGCTTATGTTCTATCTTTTCATCACTTCTTTCCCTTGGGACTGAACAAGATCAGTTCATCATGACAATCATGCTGAACTGAACCACCCATTCTTCAAGAATTGTACACTTGCTTAGTGAGTTGTGAAGAACGAATTAACTGCTCAAGCCTTCTATTAAGACTTATTGATGTTGATTGCCAAATATACTCAGTTCTTCTTTATGCAATGATTTGATTGCAGTTCCAGAACACGGGGAATGAAAGTAGTGAATAGAGTTGCTCTGGAAGGCAAAACCAGGAGGATTTCAATCACCGAGAAGGCTTCTTCAATCTCAGCAGTGGAGGTTCTAGTGGTGATGGATTTTCCAGCACGATTGTCCAGCACAACCTTAACATGAACCGAAAGACAAAATCTTGGCCTCCTTGAGGTGTTGAAAAACCAGTTGGCATTCCTGGAGAACTTGGGTGAGAGAAGAGACTGGAGAGATGAAGATGACAGAGAGTGGATTATCTTGGATAGGAATGAGATGTAAGAGAGCTTCTGCTTGTTGTTCTTCAACTTTGCCATCACAGCCATCAGAGGGATCCCCTTCAGAAGCTCTCTGTTAGTGTTCTTCATTTTCTTTCTCTGTACTCTAGAGTTGAGACCATAGAGAGAGAAGAGGGTAGTTTGAGCAAAGTAAATGGGATGAAGATAATAACAGAAAAAGAGAAAAAGCTAAAATAAAGAAGGGTAGTTTAGGCATTTAGAAAACTTTAAACAGTAAAATCAGAATCTTTTTCGAAGTTAACTGACGGAACACTAACAGAGGGGGGTCTTTGACTAATGGCCAAAGTTAGGGGGGGCTTTGTTGCAAAAAAAAAGTGCAGGGGGGTCTGTCACTGACCCCATAGTACAGGGGGGTCCGTGTAGAACACTAGAATAGATTGACTAAAAGAAACCAGACTGTAATGAGATTCTGATCTTGCCAATCCAAGGTTGTTAGGGTTAAATTGCCCACAAGGAGAAGCCGAGTTATAGATGCTTATGGTGTTTGGCACATAATTTACATGCGCTTTATATAAAAGCAGATTAGATCTCAACAGATAAAGATGGTAGATCTATCAGAGAAAAAATTAAATGTTCCTGAGGGACAGGCCTAAGATATCTTGGTTACCCTCTTTAATGAGATGGTAAAATTGAATTTTGATGACCGTAGCCTGGGAAACCAAGGGCCATTAGGAGTAGGAGGTGTTTTCAGAAATCATGAGGGGGAGGCCATTTTAGCTTATTCTGGCTCAATAGGTACTGGAAATTCCATGGGGGCTGAATTGCTAGCATTCATCTTCATCCAAGGCTGAGGATGGCAAAAGTGGTTATAGATTGGCTAAAAGGAGGAATGGTAGGAGCATTGCAGTTTAGACATCAAACTAGAGAACAGCCAATAACATTGTTGATTCCTTAGCTCTAGGAAATAGACAAACAATAACTTGGGAGGTCTCCCCTGGGTTGAAAAGTGTTGCATGCAATGTTCAACTCCCCATGGAACAAGGGAACAGCATGGGCTACGTGTTTGTACATAAAGATGGGTTATATTGCTTGTATAGTTTGATGTATATATTGTAATACCAATAAAGCATGTTCAGTTAGAGATGAAGAAATAAATACTCTTAATGAGGATTTGAAGTCCTCCCACCTATATTTTTAAATTATTCATTGTGGTACACAAAATAGTTAAGACAAGAGATAACAGCAATATTCAACTGCAGGGAGGGTCAGTCTATCTAGTTTCTGGCCTTAGGGCATTGACAAGTTTTCTTCAACTTCATGGTCTAATTTCATTGGGAAGGTTTGGGAGTTGGGATGACACCTTCTTCCCTCCAGTGAGTACACTTCTCCTTGGTCTAAATTTTTCCATCATAATATTTTCTTGTTGCTTCTGATTTGGATGTGCTTCACATGGTGGGTTCCTTAGAGGGTCTTATTTTGGTGAAGATAATGAGCAGATCCCTGTGTTCTAGAATGTGGTGATACTGCTGCTTGAAATCAAGGGGTGCCATGTCTTTGCTCCATTATTTGATGATATAAGTTGGAATTGGGAACAACTAGCCAAAAGTTCTGCAGTCAGAAGCAAGTCTTTGGTGGATTGGAAGCCTCCTGATGTAGGCTTCATTAAATTCAATTTTGATGGCAGTAGTTTGGGCAACCCGGGGCCATCTGGAATAGGGGGAGTCTTTAGAAATGCTGAGGGCCAGATTGTAGCTCTATTTTCTGGTCCTATAGGGATGGGAGATTCAGTTAATGCAGAACTCCAAGCTGTGATACAAGGAGCAGAAATTGCAAAAGAGTTGGCGGTGGAGCATCATTTAATGATTGATGGTGACTCCAAATTGGTTATTGGATGGCTAAAAGAACCGGAGATGGCAGCCTGGCCTTACTGGGGGACTTTGAGAAGATTTAAGTGGCTAACATCAAATATTCAGTCACAGTTCAATAGGAAAGAAGATCGGCAAATGGGTTGGCAGATTTCCTAGCCAAACAAGGAGTACATAGGAATCAGCTCTTTTGGGCTCAATTGTAAGCTTTATGATGTAGTTTGGAGGCTGCACCTCGTGCTTCTTTGTGGGGAGTTGTATCATGTATGATGTATACTTGTTTTTATTCTAATTAATAAAATTATCATTATCTATCAAAAAAATGTCTTTGCTCCATTATTGATAATTGGCTTTAAATTTTCAAACATTGAAAACAAGCAGTGAGGTATCTTATTGTTGGATCCTATCAATATTACATATCACAATGTGAAGAGGGAAGAGTTTCTAGTTAAGATTGACTGAAAAATAACAATCCTAAAATGACCTAGGACTTCTGTTTACTAAATTGTCTACCTCCATTTCATAGACGTGACTGGTTTGCTCAATTTAAAGTGAAATTCAGTTATCTTACATAGTAACATGTTGTAGCTATCATTCAACTTAGTTTCTATTCAGAGTGCAGGACATCCCAGGGGGTGGGGAGAAGAGAAAAATCTAATACAAAGAGTCTTTTGTTTTATGTTTATAATATGTGGTGTTCACCTTGATTTGTTCTAGAAGTTGTGTACATATTGACACTTCCAGTAGAAGTAAAATTCAGTATAGCTGTGTGCACATTTCCTAAAGGGGATCGTGAGGTAGAATTTAATCTACACATGGTTTTATTGTCTACCAGTTTTCCTCACTTTCTTATAGTCTTTCAAGGTGGTGATTTGTGGTTCCATCCATTAACAGAACACTTTGACAAACTACTTGAAATAAGCCACTTATTTCTTCTGAGCTTATGTTTTCTCACATACCATTACATATTTTGACACTCTTCTTTGGTTGTCTGCACAGGCAGTGGAGACTGTTGTATTGCTCATAGAGTATTCTCCGGTATCTTGAGATCTGATGTCACTTGTACTGCATGTGGTTTTACATCTACAACTTATGACCCATGTGTAGACATCTCATTGGATTTAGAACCCAACCAAGGGAATTCTGCAAAGATGGTCTCTACGAAGTCGCATCATGCTTGCAATGGTGAGCCAGATTCCATGATTTCAAGCCAAAGCTGTGGAATATCTACTCTCATGGGGTGCTTAGATCGCTTTACAAGGCCTGAGAAACTAGGCTCAGACCAGAAATTCTTCTGCCAACAGTGTCAGGTTAGGCAGGAATCTCTGAAACAGATGTCTATAAGAAAGCTTCCACTAGTTTCGTGTTTCCACATCAAAAGGTTTGAGCATTCGTCAACTCGAAATATGTCGAGGAAGGTTGACCGCTATTTACAGTTCCCATTTTCCTTGGACATGGCACCTTACCTCTCTTCTTCCATCTTAAGGAGTAGGTTTGGAAATCGAATTTTTGCATTTGATGGAGATGAGCCTGATGCTACCAGTGAGTTATCTTCAGAGTTTGAGTTGTTTGCAGTTGTGACTCACACGGGTAAACTTGATGCTGGTCATTATGTGACTTACCTACGGTTAAGTAATCAATGGTACAAGTGTGATGATGCGTGGGTCACTCAAGTTAGTGACAATATTGTGAGAGCTGCACAAGGATACATGATGTTCTACGTGCAGAAGATGCTTTACTATAAAGCAAGTGAAAAAGTTGTTGGTTGATGATACTTGAGAAAACAGAAATTTGGTGAATAAATAGCTTCTTGTTCTAAAGAGTTGGAATTTTCAAATACAGCTGGAAACTTGTATCTTTCGCTTCTCATCAAAGAGAATTTTGTGGCCAGCATTTTATTACACCAAACCAATACCACATTAGTTTCTGATTCTATTGGGTTGCTGACCATCATAGCCAAAGCAGCAAGTATCTCTGTGAGCTCTCTGCTAATAATATCTTTGAGAGTAAATTTGTAATTCTCATTTGGGGAGTAAAGCGAGCCTGAATTTTTGAGGCATTCTCTGGCAGTTGGAAATTTTATTCCATGAAGGTATGGGTTTCATTGATTTTTTTTTTCTACATATTCAAGTGTTGTAGCTGGGTTGATTCTTTTTTTTCTTCTCATGGATCCTCTCAGGTGACAATGCTTGGGGGGGTAGTTCACTGGTGTACTAATTCTTTTCCATTTTTACATTCTCAAAGAATTCTGTCTTCTAACCTGAATGAAATTGATGTTTAGTTTCCCACATTAACCTGAATCAACAGCAGTGTAGCATTCATTCATGTTTCTTGGTGGTATGGTAGTGAAAGATTGTTGGTTAATTCATGTTTTTCATTAATTTTTCTTCCAAAAAAGTTTCATGGGTCTGCAGTCTAGACCTTGTAATTGGTGGCTTCCTATCCCAACCTACAGGAGGCCATTATATTATTAATCTCCTTTAGCCATAGAAATATGGAGGGAACAATGGCTGATTCTGAAGAGAACAAAGCAAGAACCCCCATGACCCAAAACCTAAAACAGATTTATAAGCATTGCTATGCATATTAATCCTAAACTAAAATTATCTTCCTTGCAGGATCTGTAATTACTGCCAGGTTGAATTGTGTGCCAACCAAGTGTCCCATAGCTACGGACAAATCAACAGTATCACGAGATATCTGGATTTGTTTCAAAATATTAATACAAATTATCTAACTTGGAAAGAATGGCTGCTCGAGTTGCAAATAGAGCGGGAGCCATCCTTGTGTTTGTCTCTAAGTAAGGTTTATGTTCTTTCCAAGTAACTTCTCATTTATGGCATTCCAATTCCAAGGTCAGCAACCCAGCAGGCCAGCACCCAGAATACTTTCTCATCCAGAATCCTCCTGTCTCAAATGTACATGTACAGTTTTCAAGGTTTCTCTTTGGTCACAAGAAAGAGTAACCTAATTTAAGAGGCCCAAGGTGATGGTGCTACATGTGACAAATGTATCTTTATTATTTGCATGAAAGCACTGTTATTGGCTCATAAATCAAAACCTGGACTTAAAATACAAGTTCCCAATTCATTTTTGAAGGTCTATGTTAGATTTCCCCCCCCAAAGGATGATAAGGCACTGGTTTTCAAGCTAGTTTCTTAAACAAATATACTTGCAAGCGTGCTCAACCAATTTACTTTGTGTAAGAATTTTCCAAGTTTAAACCATGCCCTGTACACTGGATTTTTAGACAGAAAAAAGGTTTAAATTCTCATCCATGGTCTTGTCGTTCCATAATTCTATTCATTGGCCAGGTGATTCTGTTGAATGATCATTTATTTGGTGCTCTTATAAAAGAAAGGGTTGTTCTTAGCCCAAAAGGTTGAACCTTGCTGGGATTTCTATGAGAGAACAATTTTCCCTTCTAGGATTGGACTAGAATAATCATCATATCCTGTTCTAGAGATTGGGTAAAATGTTACTTCATTTGGATGCTACAAATGCACCTCCCAAAGTGGTGTAACAAGTCTAAGAATGGCGTAGCCCAAATTGTTGGAATTTGATCCTAGGCAATTGATGTTGATTTTATGCATTTCAAATCTCCAGTTGAATGGAACAATTAACCACTCAAAAAGTTTGTGTGTTTGTTGGGAAAACTTGGAGAAAAAAGAAAGAAGAGTCTCCTTTCAGCCTTGGTCGAACTAGGCTTTGCTGGACAAACTCAATGTCTCAATTCTCTTACACTATCCTATATAGAGATGGACTCCTAGAGTCCTATAAGGAGTTCCCCAATCAGAAACTACCTAACTTCCTAATCAAACTAGGCAAGTAACTAATTAAACTATAGTTTCGTTGGAAACAAATTGAACTTCTCAAGTAATCTTTTATTTTCACATCTTTGACCAATCAATTTAACCCGAATCTTGTATGGCATGAGACCTACCAAGTTTTCAAGCAACATGAATTCGGCTCCCAATCCATGTGCAATCTAGTGAATCACCTCCAATCTTATCGGCCCAACATTTAAATATAAGTAGAGCTTGGGTTTTAGACATAACCTAAGCCCAATTGTTTAATCTAAGAAAAGTGCTTATCTTATTTCATCCCAAGTAGACACTTGTTCTTAATTTCTAAACCAATAATATCAATATACTACTTCCCAAGATTAAAACATTTTGCAAATTCTTTTTATAAAATAAATTATTTATAGATATAAATACATTTTACAAACCGATCTCAAGAAAAGTTGAAAATTGCAGTGGGTAGTTTTAGGCTTTTACAGAGAGCATAAACTAGGATATTCTTTGTTTGACAAAATGACTGATCTTATCATAATGATAAGTTATTCAAATGCTATTCCAAACTTCTCCAATATACATAAGTATTTAACCCTAAGTAGATCTCATTGGTTGGTACACAAAAAATAGCTTACTATCAAGTTAGGGATCGAGTACAACTTTTCAGTTTTGCTCATCTATGTCCAAAATTCTTAACATAATTGGAAGTGTTCCTTGTTGGTGTTTCACTAAATATCACTTATTGAACCTTAAGTCTAACCTTAGCATTTGGGTCCAATTGCCCCATCAATTTGGCTAACATAATTCTCATAAATGTCCACCTTAAGCGATAATTCATAGATGAAATAACAATGTTTTGATTTCATTTGATAATAAATATCATTCTAATTGGAGTGGAGGACATACATTATCTAACACTTATATGTCAGCTCTATACCCACTAGAAACAAGGGAGGAAAAATGAGGTCTCAGCGAGATCATTCATTTAAGATTGAAATGAATCTACGTTTGAGTTGCACAATTGGACTCATTCATAATAACCATTACATTTAAGGCTAGGACTACTGGTTTTGCTTGCAACATTGCTGGTGTGCATTGGACTATGTTTTCCTGTACAGGGTGATTTGATTTTGAATGAAGAGCCGTTTAGAGCCTGCCCTTGGAATGATTTATGCTCAGATCGACAGAAATGACTGTTAATACCTAATACCACATACTACATACAGGGTGTTGTTTCTTTTGGTATAATTGACAAATTTAAGTCCTTTCAGCCTGAAATAATGAAATTACGAAAATCAACTCAAAGACAACGAATATTCTCATGTAGTGAAAGTAAGAAACTGGAATGAGATGAGTGCGTAGCTGATGTACAACCGTCCCATCCCCTTGTTCCAAGTTCACTTTCGGCTCTCCCAACGAATCTGTACAAACATAACGAGGATCAAAGGGAGCAAGAGGCAATCTCGGCGGACAGCTTTGTGCAGATGCTTCAACCTTCTCATTTTATTTTGTCCGAGTTTTCATGTTCATATCGATGGGATGGATGGCACTATGGCAGTACTACGATCACACTGTGAAACCTTGCAAAATACAATGGAAAATGCAAACTACTGCTGCAATAGGATCCCCTTTTGTTTATTTATAGTACTTACCAAGCTACCATGTTTGATGCCTTTCGGACATCAATAGAAAGAAAAATGTGTCAAGTGTCCTGACGCTCGGCATTACCTCTGGTTCTAGGTCTCGATCTTAGTAATGTGCTTTTAATGGAAGTCTTATTGGTTCCAGAGAAAAGCGGCCATCCGTACTGTACTTGAATTTTCAATGGGGGTTGTGTTTGCATTCTCACACATCAAGTTTTGCCTATTATAGATATAAGCCTGAAGCCCCAGATGATTGTTTAATTGATAGTAATCTCTACCTTTAGGTTGTGTTTGGTTTGTTAATGCTTACTATTTGATTTTCTTCTCCAAATTGCTCAGGTCCTAGCTTTTCCCCTTTGGGTGTCTGGTTCTTCTATCTTGGTTTCAGTCTCTCTGCTCTGGTACGTATTGAGGATGCCGAACAAGGAAGGGCTTTTAGCGTTTTACTTTTCGTACTCTACTCTCTAGTACCACTTGGCTCTATTTTCTGTGTTTTCCCTCCTTTGGCCAAGAACTCTGAAGTCTGAACTCAGTTATCCCAACCACCGCTTTTGATTACTGGAATGAAGATGAATTCGAGGTTCCTCCTGATCCAAGAACCTTAGACCCATAATCACCATTCACCAGAGAACGTCACCCCACTATCGATCAATGAATCTGATTCCAAGCAGGTGGAGAAGCCATCACAATGTGATAGTAGATTCAGTAGTTTGCTGAATCAGTAGTTTATGGTAGATGGTGAATAAAAAATCTGTGTCCTCGTGTGGTCAGTAGTTTATGTGAGCATTTACGTGAGAGAAGAGAAAGAGACTGTCAATTTGTTTTAGATGTTCTTAGCTGTATGCATAAAACCATGGTTTTGGTATATGGTGGAGTTGTTTGTGTTATGAATCAGACAACTTTTTTGCTACATGATGATTTAGACAAATTGAGATTTGAAGACAAGCAACTTTCGAGCTTGATGGATCTCTGTCCTCAGAATGCAAATTTAAATTAATTCATTTTTACTTTTCCATGAGGTTGCTATTTCAAATACACATACTTTGTTTTTTAGGGTTCTAGCTTTGGAATGAGAACCAGATAGTCATAAAATTTGAGTTTCTCATTACATTAGGTTTTATTAAGTGCATTTTTGTTTTTTGGATTTAGGGAGTTACATTTGGAATTTGGAGTATATTAGCTTCTTCCCTAAAAGCTTCATATGATTCATTGAAAATTTGTGGACAGAAGATCTGATTTGTTTCAATAAGAGAATCTCAATCTAGATGGACAAAAATGAAAGGGTTCTTGGAGTTTATGAAAATTTGAAAAGCATGTGATTATTCTTTTTATTTCTTTTTGGAATACTTAGGAGTTTAAAAAAAATGTAGTGTTTAATTCAAATGTTCCTTTTGATACTGACTCATTAATAAAACAATAATATTTAGTCCCCTTGCCAGTTATAGATGTAACATGAATGTTTAATTGATAGTAATTTGCTCTACCTTTATCATTAGAAACTAAGAGAGAACGGAAAACTGAGGGAAAATTCTAAAGAAATTTTGTGAAATTTGTTAAGAATATCCGTTAACTTTCTGTTTCTCTTATTTTCTATCAAACCAAACATAATCTTAAAAGAATAGACGAGCTTGAATTTCATTCTTGTTATTTTCTGTTTTGACTGTCAAATCCAAGTTTCTGTGAGGGTTGAAAATCTCTGGGAAATGCAATTGCGTTTTTTTTTCTTTTGAATTGAACAGTAATAATTACAAAGCAGAAGCCTAACTCATGTAACAAAAGTACATATAACATGGATCTGACCCCATATCAGTTTGTATGAAAATTCACATGTGCAAAAACCACTTAATGCATTCAGGGCTCTACAAGGAGCAAGGAAAAAAAATCACCTCTCCTGCAATAAAAAATATCTGAAGACGATTCTCTCTCTTCACAGGTCCATACTCCATGCAAAAAAGAAGCATTGCATCTTGGCCACCAGCCTCACATCAGTAGGTAAAGAAAGAATGACCACGAGAAAGAATAGATTGCCAGCTTAATTACAAAGAAAAACCCAAGAAAATGCTATAACCCTAACATCTCAGAAAACCATTCTGATAGACTTGCTATCACAAACCCTGCAAATACCTGCACGAAAAAACTAGTATGATGGGATGAATGACATGTGCAACTAGCAAGAACTAATTTTATTGCTCAACAAGGCAGCATGATCACAACAGGTGGTTGTTACAATAAATTCATGGTTTCTTATGTGGAAGAGAATTTCATTACCTGAGCAGAGCCAAGAATATAGATTGCTGAATAGTGGCGACCATGAATCACCATGTCAGCCACCATAGCAAGTGGTATTGTTAGAGACATGCCTAACGTGGCTACAAGTGGAGTTGTCCAAACAACACATAATGCCCTGAGGAGCAAAATAAATACCAAATAAGAACAATTATATCCTGGAAACGGAGAAAGCTAAAATGGGTTTCCTCTCACATACCAAATATAGTCAGACAGGACACTTCCAATAAAACCATTTGCAAGTACAACTTCATCCATTTTGGCAGAATGGGGAATAGAAAACTTGGGCTCAATTCCTAGGGCAGTCAGAGGCCACACTGAAAACAAACAGAAACAAAGAATGAGTACAACAGAAGTCAAGATAAAACTAATGCTATTTTTTTATTTACTTATTCTGGTTTCACTTTGTTTTGCTAGCTAGCTAGTCACTCTTCAGGGTATGTTCTGGTTTCACTTTGTTTTGCTAGCTAGCTAGTCACTCTTCAGGGTATGTTCAGATATGTTGACCGAGTATATTTCTCCACTAATAATGTTGATTATGTTACTGTGCTGGTACAAAGCATAACATGCATATGGGTATATACACTTTCTTGTCAACCATGGTATTTTGTATGGACAATAGAAATTCCAAGAAAAGCTGATCTAATGGTCAAGTTATATTTAGATAATCTATGTACGGTAGAAGCTCCTTTGGCTTTCCCTCTTGTTCAGTTACATGTAGCTCAAAAACCTCTTAAAAGGAATTCAAAACATTGTATAACAATTAACAGCATAACTTATTACATCATTACATGCACTCACAGTATTGTTAATGGAGATATCCTAGTTAAGGGAACCATTAAATATAAAGAATCATTCTTTTAAAGTCCAAATGAAGAAGTAAAATACAAGATGTAATTAGTTGCCATTTTCCCAAGCTCCCAACATCTAGGGCTGCATTTGGCATGCTTTTATAGAATTAATTCTGATGAAACTTGTGATTCTAAGAATCACTTTTAAGTTCGAATTTATAAAAATTGTTGGAACTAATTCTTTTTCTGGGCTCAAAGCTCATTCTAAGAATTGATTCTTTGAAGCTAAAAGAAGTTTAGCTTTACAAAAGAAAGTTCAGATTAAAAAAAGAATCATTTTTTGCATAGAACTCATTCCTCAAACAGTGATTCTTTGGAGCACAATTGTAACCAAACATAGCCTAAACTTCCATATCTCAGAATCCTTGTAGCTATACATTGATGTTCAAAATGTTAATAGCTGAGTAGATGATTTGATACTACAGATTCATCAAGAATGTTCCATATGGTTTTACACCCCCTCTATTTTGACTTTATATAATGTTTCCAATAACACGCCAAGTCCAAAATCTGGAATTTTGGAATACTAACACCCACCAAGAATTCTCCTATTTGGATACCCTTGCGCTAGCAAGGTCCATATCTTTTGTAGAAAGAGAACATTTAGAATTACTTTTTATAAATTGATCAATCAAATTTCCTTTAGAATCAGACCAATTCCACCTAGGTGGACAACACTAACATACATATATAGACACACAGCAAAACAAAAGAAGGAAAAGGGAACTAATATCAACTCCCTTGTGTTTCTAAAGTGAAAGTATAACCTTTTTTCAGTTCTGAGGCAGGTATATGAAGAATGGATGAGAAGCATAAAAATCTCATGGAAAAACTTTGCCACATCAACGAAAGACTATGGAGAAGTTATGAGCACAGACAAGTGCATTTAGAGAAAAGTCTTACCAAGCCACCAAAGGGCAACAAGTGTAAAAAGCCCAACGTATCCAAACAACTTTTGCACATCAACCCTTTCACCTCCCTCTCCAGAAAATTTTTTGAGAAGCACTGTGGCAAGATTGTTTTAGTAATCAGTATCTGTATAGGAATTCATAATAGAAAAATAAATCAAACTAAGCATATGCAACAAGTAACCTGTAAACAGCCCATATGTCATAGCTGAGAGAAGACCAAAAAGATCTCCAATAAGAGAACGCTTCCCATTGCTGCACATAAAAAATCAATTACAAATTCTCCAAACATGCATTGCTTATGAAATTGTATCAGGTTTTATGTAAATGATCAACTAGGGAATACTCTTTTTCTGGATATAATCATTGTTAATTGTGGTTAACAAAACCCAACCAATTGAGTGAAGAAAACTCCTTGTTAAAAAAATAAAAATAAGTGGTCTGAAACTGGGCAAAGGGTCCTGCAGGTTCAAGAACAATGCAGTTGGCAACTTTGGAGAGCTGTTCTTTTTTTATCCTGTGTTCAAAGGAAAGCCAAAAAACGAATACCGGCCTTGCACCCTTTTCCAGTTTTCAAGTTCTCAAACAGCGAGAAAAAGATGTATGTGCACCATGTATGCAAATTGGAATTACATATGATATGAAGCATAAGCAGACTAGAAGAGGGAAGGAAACTTACACAGCAGCACTTAATTGTGCCTCATCTATGGCCCAAGTTTTCCCTAGAGCTGTCATGGCAACACCAGCCATACTGACAAAGACAGCTACTACTTTTGCCATATTTAGTGTGTCTTGCCCTAAGAATGCACCGATGAAAAGAGTAAAAAGCCCTGAAGTTGAAGACAGCACTGTCGTATTTGCAACACTTGTACGTGCCAATGCGGCATTAGACAAATACTGTATCAAATAAAAAGTCATCAATAAGCATCTTTGGTGTATTTTTATTCTAAAAATACTTTAACCCAGACAAGTATTGCAGATAGAATATGTTTTAATAAATCTTCTTTGTTAATACATATCAAGAAGTTATATCATATCTTCAATATAACATATTGTTGTGCCTCACCTCTGTTATAAACCAGATAGGTGCGATATAAAAGCCATACATAGCAATTTCCCTTGTGGAAAGCTCTTTGTCCTGTTTCATTGTATCCACATCTTCTTTCTGCTTAGAAATTAAAGGTCTTCCCTCTTCCTGAGCAGAAAGGTCGGATTCACTGTCCAGTCTGTCCTTTCCAGGCAAAGAGCCCTGAAGTTCCATTTCAAAAAATTTCTGCACCCCATTAAATTTTGCAGGAGAGCCAAACCCAGCAGAGGACCTGTCTACAGTTTCTGCATGCTTGCCTTTTTTAGAAGAACGACTTCTCAGTGAACTACATAACCAATCCTTGATGAATGCTATTGGAAGATATACTACCATAAGAGAGGCTCCTAGATATGTCACTGCAAATGGCTGTTTATAGTCTGTAAATATTCCCTGTTCAAAGTTAATAAAAAAGTCAACCCTGGATAAAGAACTCCTTGTATTGTGTACTTCAGTAACACCAGAGAGAGAACCAAACTTACCCAGGTAATTACATTTACCCGGGTAAGTAACTTACCGAAAAGCGAACAGGGCCTAAGTATAAACAAATTCATATTAATCAATTTTCATGTTTCTTTCTTTATTCATATTAAACAGTTGGATCATAAAGAAGGACTACCTTATTTAAAGATTATTTATTGGATAGAAATGCTCATAATCTTACTGCAGATGTATGCATCCTCCGACCTTCATTACCTTTTGAAGCGAAAGAATAAAGCAGCAGCCATGGAATGCAATTCTCAGGTAAGCAAAAGATCATGAAGAATGACAATGTTATGAAAGGGAATGAGCTTAAAGATGACTACGTGAATTTGCATGCGTGTTGCAGATTAGCTGTAGAAGTCAACTTTCATTGTTTTACCACAATCCTGACATGAGACTAAATCTATCTGGCCAAATTCCCAGCAGAAATATTTACAGCATTTAATTAAACTTCAATGCTACCATGTCTAAAAGGAGCATCTCGTTGTGGCTTTCAAAGTCTGCAATATTATATTACATTAGAACTCAAATTAACAATTCATGATAAGGATCGCTCTCCCACCCAACCAGAGAGAAGTATCCTCCACCCCAGAGAGGAAAAAATGCCCCAACGAAAAAAGAAAAGAAAAGTTGCTCTTTTGTTACAGGACATAAAACATTATAATTTTTAAAGAAACAGGAAAGAATAAAAATCGAATTCGAGCCTTTTCAACAACATCCAACCAGAAACTCTATAACTGTCATGAATAAACCATGAAACTACCAAATGAAATTCCACTCCGAGTGCTCTAAAAATTGTCATGAACAAAGGACCCTATAGACAGATCATTGTGGATAAATCAAGACTTACCTGCGTGACTTCTGCAGAAGTGACCCATATGATGACAACGGCTGCAATGAGCATCAATCCAGCTTTGTATCTCCAACCCATCACAAATTACAGAAAGAAATCGAAAAAAAGAAGAAACAGCAAGAAGATCTGTAGGTTCCCTTCCCTCCACAGATCTTCAACTAGCTTACCACCCTTGATACCAAGAAACCACGAATCCCAGCTTATTGATTTCGAAAACCAATCTTTTCCTGCTTGAGAGTCCACAGAGAGAGAGAAAGAAACAGAAAGGGCCAAGCTTCAAAGGAATTGCTGCACCCACCTCACAAACTGTGCGTCGCTCTGAAGAAACGCCGAGGGGAGAAAAGAGGAGGAAAAGCGAGGGAAGAAGACGTTAAATCTAAGGTTTTGCTCGTTAATTTAACTTTCCCTCCCTCTCTCCCTCTCTCACGGAGAATCACAGTTCTTAATTCTGTGCGCCACCCAGACTGTTGCTTGAATTTTCATATTTAATTATTGATTAAACTAATAATAATTCATCGAAAATATAAACAAATAGGATTGAAATATGAAAAGGGACCACCAACGTCATCTGATCAATTCCCACCGTTCATCTAACCTCTCGTAATAGGACGGTGGGACCTTTTTCCTATAAGTCTAGAACACTACTACACAAGTAACGTTATACTACTGTACTGGGAATCCCCGGCAACATAATTACCCTTCCAGGATCTGTGGGGCCTGGGTCCATTTCTGAAACCTGAACCCATTAATAATCCGGTTCAGATTCAGTTCAGATCCACGCATCATTACTATTTACTACCCAATAAGGAACCACCGAACCAGATCTTTATCTACTTGTCTCAGTGTTGTCAGCCCCATGGATTGGATTGAATGGCCGAACCGCTGATCCATTGGGTCTTCTGGGACCCGGATCTTTTATGCTTTTTCACGGGCTAAACTTTTGTTTCCAATCCGGGTCAGACAACACTGATTTGTTAATTTTGTTTTTGTCTAGAATAAATTAAAAGTCAAGATTTGGGCTTTTTCTGTTTCGGAAAGATGGCGGGAAGGGATATTAGATATCGAGATTTTTGGTGGGTCAGCACCGACTCATCCAATTTCATACCCGGACTAGGAAACTTGTTCAGCCGGGCCTGGTTGTGGCCCAAAAAACATTAAGCAATCTACCAAAAGATGAAAACTTGGTTCAATTCCCACTCAGTGAAAATACTGAAATGAAGACTAATCAGCTTAGCCCCAAATAGAAATAGTGCAGGACAGGAGCAGCTATAGCGTTGCCACGTGTAGGGCATGAAGCAGTTCAGGACCCTCCATATTGTGGGCCCCGGTCCATCTACTAGTCCTGTCCTGTGTCCCACTCAATTAAAAGATGTTATCCCTTTGATTAAGTGCAATTCCCACCTAATTCTGTTGGAAGCTGGCCTAATGTTTGTAATCATCCCGTTTATTCGAGGGACCCACCCGATGCAGATGTGCCTCGGACCTTAAAATATTCTCGAAATTTGGCATCCCATGCCTACATGCTTTAGGTTTGGACTTGGGCAAGAATTCTTTTGTTTTGTTTTATTTTATAAATATTATTGAATTGAAGTGTATTGAAGGGTTCCTTTCTGTCACTTGTGTGTATGGTAAATGCATTTCTTTGCTTCCAATTTTCCATCCTTTATTTATGGTTTTTGCGGAGTCTTGAACAAATGAGCCCTCCTTTGAGTAGTATAGCAGTTATAATATTAAATGGTTTTGATGTATTTGATGGATCCAACACCATGGATCTTACTTTTAATAAGGCATGGTCTATTTTGACGCTATTTTCTTGTCAATAAATAACTATGATTTATGAATAAAGTTTAAAATATCGCAATGTATCGATATATTTTAAATAAGGTTCAACCCATTAAAACTAATTATGAGTATCATTTCTTTAATCATTAGACGTGCAATTTTTATATATTGTGACTTTGTGAGTATGGATATTTTGAACCAAGGTTTTTAAAATTGGATTGGACAGGCCGGGGTTTGGTTCTTGGGTACAATGGTCCGATTGTCCGGTTTGAATAGACTTCTTGCTCTAATAAAAAATAAAAAATAAAAAAAATTTAAAATTTAAAAGACCCAAAAAGTGGGAAAAAATCATTTTAGGGTCAAATGGTTCGATTGCCCGGGCCAATAATTGATTGACTAAATCAATGGATTTTGACCAAATAATAATTTTGGAGTAAAATGGAACTGGTCAGGTGACCTGTTCCAAGTTTTTCCCGTCCGACCGTCCGATTTTAAAAACATTAGTTTGAAGTTAGAACCATGTTAATGAATCATCCAATGAGGGAGAAGGGGTCATTAGAAGGGGGGCCTCCCCATGAGCCACAATCTCCTATGTAAGGGAATGTAAAGCATAGAGGACAAAATGTATGGGATGGTGGGTGCCGTTGTGCCAACCCCACTAGTCCACTATATGTGACATAATTTGTAAGGTCATTTTCCATTATAGAATTGAGGTACAAAGCCTAGAACTACCAATAATATGAAACCTATTCTTTACCATTAGGCTGTATTTGGTTTGAAGGTTTCCCTACCTTTTCCTTCAAACCAAACATAACCTAATGGTGTTAATTTGGTTGAGATTAAGAACTCAAGCATCTCCTGTCCTCAAGCTCTAGCTGAACAAGGATTGGATCCATGCATTCACACCTACCAACTGCCAATTCTAAGTCAAGGCACAGGAATTAGAGCGTGCTAGTAGTTTGTTAGCCTTGAGTCAACTGCCAAATGGGTCATTTGATTTAAGCCCAATCCAATTGATGGCCCACCCGGTTGAATGGGTTCTTACTTAAAAGACTACCCAGTAGTCCAGTATCCATGGCGGATGAAACATGAAAGGCTAACAAATTTTGCGAAATTGATTTCCATTTCATTGCACATAAAATTAAAAGAAATGAATGCTTATGCTTTCTTGAAAATTGCTTCCATGCCTGTGTTCTGATTTTTTAAAAGTCATATTTCAATCAGTGGTTTGGTCCTTTTGTTCTCAGTTAATTTACGAAGCCACTACAACACATTCCATCATGTATTGGAAATATCTAATAATATATAAGTGTGGGAGATATTTTAACGGTTGGTGTGAGGAGCGCTATGTGAGATTCAGACTGGATGTATGAACTAATCCATCTAATTGCTTAAGTGGTAAACTATACTTACTAGATAATATAATATCTGTAGGATTGCAAACGAATCAGATCAAAATTGGACGGTGGTAAACTGATTGATAAGAATTCGATCAAGAGATCCAAATTCAAATCGAGCAGTATTTAAATTTGATCCAATCAATAAACGAATCGATTTAAATCTGATTAATGACCAAATGGATATCTGAATCCAATTTAAACCAAAATCAAATTTGGAATCATATCAGATTAAAATTGATCAATTTGCACCCTTATAATCTCTACTGAGAATTATGCATTAGTAGACCAAACCTTGACTATAGCTCAATGAAAATTTGTCTACCCTTTATCCAGAGAGAATAAAGGGAAATTGCTCGGCTTTTACCTTGCCCATGGCAAATATCTGATCACAAAGCTGACCAACCGAGATTAACCATTCCATTGGATGTCCCTTGTTACAATTATTGCAACGGGTGCAAATTTTAACTCTTACGAGAGTAGGGGTCCATGTAATTTACCGTTTTGTCTAGTAAGCCAAGCATAGGAAACAATGAACAAAAGTAAAAAATTGAAGACTTTAATTGATGAGGAGTAATTTGGCCCAATGCATTAGTATGCGAACACGTGGAGCGATCTGATGATTTGATGACAATTCAGCATTTTCAAATACCTCAACATGCTAGGTCAGCTCGGGCACCTCGGCTAAGACTGAGGTCCAAGCAGCTTGTGGTGTTTAGACCTGCTGAAGTGCCATATAGCCCTCTTCTAGAAGCTAGCCAACCGTCTTCGATCTTTCCGGGATCACACCGTCAACAAACCTTATCCGTATCCCACCTGAATCGAACGGACTTGATAAGCCTTATCAACTCATACGAAGTCCATTTCTGGGTGTGAAACAAACTCTTGGTTACACGGGCCGGAGATCTCGGATATGTTTCATGAAGCCTACAACAACTTGCTTATATATAAGGGCATCACCACCAGTCTCATAGAGTGCTTGCGATTTAGCTCTATTGCTCTCTTATTCACAAGCAAATTAACTCACTACAACACTCTTCACTAACTTAAGCATCAGAGTGCCCATATCAGATAAAACACCCCGGGACCTCTGATACTGTGTTTCTTGCAGTTCGATCGATCACGTGTTAGTTCGACGTGCGAACTATTTTCCAGCTAGGAACAACCAGATCATGCATCATCAATAACTATTCATGAAAATAAACTGTACTCAAATATAGACGTGAGATTTCAAATTAAAAGCCAAGAATATTATTCAAATAAATTAATTAAAATCCAAGAACAAAGACAAAAATTAAGAGGTACAACTTAGATGGGCTTGGGTTGAACATTTTTAAATTTGAGAAGGCCCAGGCCCCGGGCCTACGAATGCCTGCTTTCTTCTTTTTATTTTTCGGTAAGAGACAGGATGCCTGGGTTAAGCACAACTGCGGTGCCATAAAAGGTAATCATGAAATGTTTGGTTTGAAGGAAAAGTAGGGAAAGAAAAGGAAAGAAAGGGAAGCTTTACAAATCTTCTATAGGTTTACCTGGATTTCCCATCCTTTCCCTATTCTTTCCTTCAAACCAAACATAGCGGAAGGGGTTTCTGTTGGAATTGTCATGGTGAAAGTCCGGATATACTGTGACCACGATGTTGTGGCACTGCAGTGAACTTAATGGAATTCATCCATTTTAGGACTGTCAATGGATCGGTTTTACCTGACCAACCGAACCAAACCATGCAATTGCAATTATATCAGTTCTGGTTCTGTCATTGTGTTCCGATTAACGATTGAGTTGGTACTGGTTCTTGCTTCTTCCAAATTAATTGAGACCTGATTCAATTATTATGTTTATAATATATAAAGATTTTTTAATTTTTTGTAATTTTTATTATATTTTATGTGCAAAAGGACAAATTTGATAGATAATATATAAGATAATTTTGTTATGGTTTTCAACCGCCGTTGATTTGGATGATCAGACCGTTTGATCTGGGAATCGTTCAAGCAATTGGTTCCATTTTACCCCAAACCCAATCAAGTAACATTTTTTTATTAAAACCATTGAAATAGTCAACCCATTGGTCCAGACAGTTGAACCATTGACCTGTTCAACAGTTTTGACATTTTTTTATTTTAATTATATTTTTAAATTTTTAATTTCTTTGTTAGAGCAGGCCATTTATTCGATCGGATGACCAAACTGTCAACCCAAAAACCGGTGATTATTGTTTTTTAAAACATTGAATTTTGGTTAAAACCGGTTCCCTTTCCGTTGCTCCACCAAT